CAAATATTATTTGAATAGTAGGTATAGGTGAAAGGTAGGCCCTTTTACACCTTTCAGCAAGCCATTCCAGGAAATCTTCATGAGAAACATTTTTTGCATGCATGTGCATTTCAATGCTCAGGGCATCTTGATTGTAAACTAATGCACCTTCACATTTTTCCACACTACTTTTCCATACTATCAAGTACAAAAACTCCTAGACCACAACCACCATTTCAAAAGCACTTGCCACATAAATTTTCTAGTAATGGGAGGCTTACCTAATACTGGCTGATAGTTTCGAAAGAAACTGTTTGGGGCTGCGTCGGTGGGAGTAACGAAATAATTTGGATATATCAACAAAGTTGAAATGGTAAATTGGCCACCGTAACGATTACAAAAGCTGACGTTTCGAGCGTTAGCCCTTCGTCGGAGCGAATAGAGGAATTGTGGGTTGTGTGTGCTTTTAAAGGCAGAAAATGGAGCTACGTTATTGGTGGGAACATGGCAACGAGAAAAACACGAATAAATTAGTGGAATGAAAAGCGTTCGTTGATCCCTGTGGGATTTAGACTGCCGGTTTGAAAGATGAGCTTTTGTTCAAGAGTTTTACAGCTTTCCGTGCTACCTAAGTGTAAGGAAAGACTGCAGATTGCCATAATTAGGACTGCTGTTTGTAATTTGTTTTCTAATAGCTTATTGGCTTTTTTTCTTTTAAATCAGAGCACATTCACACTTTATTTTGCTATACATTAAGAATTTTACCTTTTACACAACAACATCAGTACCCATATTCTCCAAAATATGAATAACTCATTGCTTGCGTGATACAGGAAGACCTGTCTAACTGGTCCTCTGGAGTACAACTACGGTATGACATTTGTACTGGTCTTATGCATTACTTGTACATTACGGAGTGTAGTTGGATAATAATTATTTGCAATTAATATCTTAGGAGCTTAAAAAGAAAATTCAGAAGTGGGAGACAGAAGATTTGTCTGGGACAAAAAGGCTAAGGTCTGTGAACCATAAATGATTCTTATCAAAGAAATTTATTTGTAATTTGCAGTTGATATTGCTGTGTCACATTGCCTTTTTGTGCAATAAATAATCAGTTGACTAAATTCAAATTAATTTATCATGATGTTAAAAAGGGAAAAATGATAAAGAAAGCAGGAACTTGCTTATGTGTTAAATGTTATTTCACTCTTACCATGGAATTTGTTCCAAAATGTTGATAATTTCATGTTATATTTTTTTATTTAATATGTTTATCTTCTCTGCCTTGATTGCATCTTAAGTGAGGCAACAAGAGCCAGTTAAAAGTCCAATGTTATTTCTGCCATTTGATATTTGAATAGCGAGTACAGTGTATTACCTATTAAAGATCCATTTCACAACAGATCTCCAGCCCAACTTGCACAAGATGTTGCAAATCTTCAAAAGGGCCAAGTGGTGTTATTAGAAACACAAAGTGAGCTGAAATCTAGGTAATCTGAAGCCTGTTATTCTGATTCAACACCAAATTCTCTTAACTCACTGAGAAGGAAATATATGGTCCCCAGAGGGAAGAATTACAAATCAAATAATGGTATTTTTAAAAAGAGTTAGCCTCTATCACACCAGAACTATTTCTCAGCCTGGCTGTGAAGTTAACCCCTGTTTTCAGCAGTCCATGAAGGTTGATTGTTCCTTGTTTTTGTTTTTGTTTTTTTTTTGTTTTTTGCTTTTTGTTTTTTTTTTTCGTCAGTGCACAGATTCATGAGACAGCTTATCACAGAGCAGTACAGGAGTTAGCAGCTGTTAAAAAGGAGTCAGCTGAATTTAAGGTAATTATCAGATTACAAGATGTTGAAGGCACCAGGGAAGGTTTAGAGCAACCTTAAGCCAAACCCTCTAGTGATATTTTTCTTGTCTGCTATCACTTCATATATGTAGGTATATATGTATGTATATATTTATGTAGCGGTTATAAATTAATGACAGGAAGATCGTTTCACCGTTACTCTGAGTTTCACGCAGTTTGCACTGGGATCGTCAGACGTAATGGTGAAGCAATCTTCCTGTCATTAATTTATAACTGGTATTGAAACGCTCTGCAACCTGCATTGAGCACTTTTTCATGTATATATACATGTATATGTAAATATTATGAGGCTTTGCATCTGATGGTAGTTAGTGTCAATGTATCCCATCTAGCTGCCTTCATTAACCATTGGCCTTCTGCAATTTAGCATCTCTCATTCAGGGGTTTCATTAAGGGCCAGGCACTGGGCAAATTGATTGGTTGTGAGGACGGCTTTGCCCACCTGATATGACCATCTGGAGGAAAGTTTATCTTATAAAGAAGTTCAGTTCAAAGAGTTTTGCCCACCTGTGAAAACCAGTTGCCCTCCTGCAAAAAACATTAATGAAACCCCTGTCTCATACATGTACTTTAGGTCACTGAAACTACCATAGGCATGATTGTGTTGAATTTGTTTTTTTACTTCCCTTGATAGACCATTTCATGTGCTGCCTTTTGAGAGAGTAGCTACAGATTCATCAATCAGGATGCAATTAGGATAAATATTGCCTTTGAACCTCCAGTCATAGCCCCCTTTCCACAATAGCCGTGTCTCTGCTATGGCAACAGCAGCTGAAATGCGTCCCGACTACTTGGCTACGTTTTTAACCCTTAAACTTCCAAGATCTGATTGTTAATTCTCCCCTCTGGTTGCTGCACATTTCTTGTTAAATTAGTTTAGAGAATTTGGTGTTAGATTAAGATAACAACTACCTGATAAGTTTGAGTATTCTCATTACCTGTTTGCTCAATGACGAAGAGATGTTGTAGGAGGAAGTTACATGTAAATCATTTCTGGGAGTTAAACAGCTAACTGGTCTTACCCCAGGCTTTTGAGAATTTTAACCACTTAATATTTGTTTGGAGTATTGAAAACTTGACAAATTTGAATTAAAATGAGATGCACTTAAAATGATCCATAATTCAAGTTTGACTTGACTTTTAATAATTTTTGTTTTTAATTGTGTTTTGATATTTACAATTACTAGGAGAATGGTGACAGACAAAAAGAAGTGAATCAAAGGCTCCAAAGACGCTTGTTTCTTGTGACAGCTGTAAGTCTTAGCTTGAAAGATGTCTTGACTTGCAGTCACAATATAAAACTTAAAGAATACTTGTCTCTGAAATTTTTCACCTTCACTTTTTCTTGTAAATGTCACCCTAGGAGCGTGATGGCTGCCGCAGAATTCTTGACACTTATGACAGTAGCTACTCATCAAACTATGATCCTCACATACACTCCAGATTACAAGAGGTGGGTCGAGGAGGTGCATTTATGTTACAGCTAAAATTCTTGTTGATTAGGATATTGTCTGACATGCAACCATTTGGAGTGTAAATATCGTAAGAGCTGTATGAACATTTTAACTAAGTTTATTCTCAACCAACCACTTAAGGAATGGTCATTTTTTATTGCCTGGGAGGAGTCAGAGAATTTTGGTTGTGTAACGATAAAATTTTCCCAACCCCCCCCCCCCATTGCTCTGTAATGTTCTAATGACCCCCTGTTAAAAATGACTGCTCCCCAGCTGTTCCTCCCGAAAACCATGTGTGACCCCCGAAAATCCTCCAACTCCCCCTTAGTCCTTCTACCCCCCTCCCATACACACAACTTATGCACGCACACACACACACACACACGCACACACACACACAAAATAAATAAATAATGATTAGTCTCTTACCATACGAATTTGTTTGGAATTCAACCATGTTTTGGTTTCCTCCATTTAATAGGCGGAGGCTCGTCTCAAGACGTGCCACGAGCACATCGAAACATTGGAGGTGAGTTTCGCTCAAAAATTATTTTCTGGGTCGTTGTCAACCCAACTATACAAGGTCAGTTAGGTCACAGTGGTGTTTGGTAAAGCAATCCTCCATATATTGCACTTTCATTCCGTGAAATTTCATTCCATTTGAGGCAAGTATCAGATATGCCAACAGGACCGTTTTTTATTTCTAAAAGTTACTGTTTTATTACAGAGAATTAGAAACGTTTTGACGTCAAACAGTTTGATTCAGCTGAACTAAACATCCACACAAAATAATTGGATCAGGAAAGTAGGCCATTACCACCACCTAAGTTTGACTCCATCAATTTCTTCTGGTTGTATTTTTATTTTTTTTATTTGTTGTTGCGGTAGCCCAAGGTGGCACAAGTTTTATTTTGGTACAAAACCATGTTGCCATTCTTAATGCATGAGTAATGGGGGCGGAAGAGCCCTTATCAGAGACTGGTCTAGTTGAAGTTAGTAAATAAGAATCGGATCTATGTGTTTCGTTGCCTTCAGCTTGAGGTGAACCAGAAAGCCGACGAAACAAGCAAGGAAAGACTCAGGGCGAATCAAGTATGCAATTATTAGAAATGCACTGAACGAGTTTTAAAATGAATAACCTGCTCTACAGGCATCACCCCCCCCTCCCCCTTATTTTCTTTTTATTAATAATTTTTTGTGGTTTTCCAGACGAGTGGAGGAGGAGAAGAGTGACACTCTCTCTCGTGTGTCTCACCATTTGCAGGCGACTCACCCTTCGCGCTAGCCTCGTGTTCACCTCTATTTGTCTCAAATAAGCAAGAAAACGACGACTGTTCTGTAGGCAAGACAAACTGAGAAGGAAAATTTGCTGTTCTCCCCCGAGGTTTTAACAGATAATTACTCCAACTACATGTCGAACAGACATAAAAACATTTACTACAGCTATGAAAGTATTTTAGGAGAACAATAATTAACAATCTTTTTAATGCTATTTTTATATAGCTTGAGGTTGAAATTTGCGAACTGCGGGACAACGTTGCCAAACAAACGCCAACTAAACCTGCAGACAGTGCATTAAGGTAACGGTTTTTTCCAGTTAATAGATTGTTTTCAAAAAAGGTTTCCCTGTTATGTCCAACGGCTGAGCCCTTTCATTTGTTGATTGGCTTTGTAAACATGAGCCATCCATTTGATCTATGCCAATTAAACTCAAGCTGTCATTTCTCAGCCAATTGAGTTTTAACAACCACCATGAATGGAGACCCTTGCAGACCCCCCCTGGCCAGATTGTTTTGAAATCTTGGTTTTATCAACTGAGTTGATAATGTAAATTAGCCACCGTAAAGAGTTTCAAAGCTGACGTTTCGAGCGTCAGCTCTTTACGTCAGAGCGAATGGTAGTAGACGTTTATACTTGAACCATTTCACGTGTAATATGCTGCTGGGTTCGATCGCCCTCTTTTTTGATTGGATTGGACTGGACTGGACAACGGGAATTATTGTTCAGTCGGCTTAACGAAGATTTCTGGAGAAAATACGAATGCGTGGGAAAAAAACTTCTTTATTTCTTAACATTGCGATCAAGGACGTCGCTAATTCCAGACGCCAGCCTCGAGGCACTGGTGAACGGAATCGCCAAGGTTGTGTTCATTGTAATTTTATTTATAATCATGCATGTATTAAAATTCTCAAATGAGAATCTCATAAACTGCGATTAAAAGAGTTACTATTTTCAACAATGTATTCTCACAGGACAGAGTTAGAAAAACTGCAGGCAGAGAATGCCAAGCTACAAGAACAGCTGGAAATTTACGAAATCAACAAAGACCAAATGCACATGCGGGTATGGTCATTTATGAAGATCATTTAGACAGTCAAAGCTCGTTACAATTAGCTCTTCGTCTTAAAAATTTGTGCATAGATCTGTGTTTGGATTAATATCAGTATGTTAGCAATTGCGCACCTACCCGTCCTCCAACCAAGCACACTAAGTCGACTGATAAGTCAGGGGTGGGGGGGTGCCCTGTTGCTCAGAATAAAACAATGGCGATCGGATCATTTTCATTACTGCAATGAACAAAACATACGACAGAGATTAGTTTTTAAGACAAAAAGGATCTGTAGATGCAGTTCAATTCAGAAGTAACTTGTTCCACAGTTTCCCAGCGCTGAGTGAATGCAGACGAACAAAAGAGCTGTTTGTTATTTGAATAATTTTATGCGATTAACTCCAGAATTGTCTAAAAAGTCGCTTTTTAGGACAGGTAACGCAATTCTCGAGAAATAGGTTCCTGCCCCTTTCACCTGCGCTTTCTTCTTCCAGGGTTATTACGATCCAACCAAAACCAAGATTGTCCACCTATCGATGAATCCATCCAGCGTCGCTAGGCAGCAGCGTGGGGAAGAGCTGGAGAAACTGAAGAAGGAAAACGAATGTCTGAGGAGGAAACTGAAGCTCTTGGAGGAGGGAGGAAGTAGCTCTAATGACACCAGCCTCCTCAGCAAGCTGAGTCCTGAGACTGCACCTAGTGTGGTCAGAGAAGTGGAAGGTTAGCCTCGCAATCCCTAGTATGCGTGAAGGCTCTCCAGAGCGCTGCAGTTTGAGCGTGGAAGCAGCGAGAAATGAGCCGAATAAGGACTCTGCAAGCTCGTGTCTCGCGGCCCCACCGCTCGTGCTACAGCGCCTGTGAGAGCAGCCTTACAGGGTAAATAGTTCTTGGTTCTATCATTCATTACTCTTTGGATGCTTGGTAATACTTATCATTGCTCCATATTTAGCACGGTTCTGTTTACAGCTGCTGGTCCCCCTCGAAATTTTTTCATCTTGCTGCTGGCAAAATATGAGCAGGTTAAGATTTTGCTATTTTCTTAACAGATTTCAAAGCACAGTTGTCTTCGGCAGAGATGAAAAATCAACGACTAAAAGAGGTAAAACAAAGTCGTGGCTCGTTGCAATAGTTTAGCTGCAAAGCATGCTAACTTACTTATCAATCATTCTTGCCAGAGAAGTCAGAGAACACTCGCTCTTTAGAACAAACTTGTAACGCAAAGTGTAACTTAATCTTTTCCAACGTGATTACATCTCACGTAACGTTTTATTGTAAGGTTTTCAAGAAGAAGATTCAAGAATTTCGAGAAGCTTGCTATGCCCTGACAGGCTACAAGATTGATGTCATTCGAGACAATCAGTATCGGCTTCAGTCCATGTATGCTGAGAGATCTTCGGACGATCTGTTGTTTGAAGTAAGTTCTACAGTTGGTTAAACTTACGGTATATCAACACAACAGTGAGGAATTTTTGAAAGACATAATTTGAGATATGGACGGCAACTGTGTCGTAACATGATCATGATCACATCCAATGTTTTGGCTTGGTACATCCGTGTTAATTCTTTAAGTTGTTTTTTAGGAAGAAGTGTTTTATCGAAAATTTGATATAACCTGATAACTGTTTCGTGTTTGACCCTGTAGTTTTTTTCCTTTTATTTTTTCCAGAGCAATGTTAAAGGGGAAATGATGTTGCTAGCCACAGATTTTTCTTCTCAGTTAACGGATCAGATATCGACGTATTTGAGCAGATTTAACTCCATCCCAGCCTTCTTGAGTAACATCACACTGGAACTGTTCAACAGACAAACTCAAACTATAGTTATTAACTGATATTTCGTGCCGTCGTGCAGAGTTTGATGTGCGTCACTCGCGTTAAGCAACGGATTGCGAATCTTGAAAACTTTTGTTTGGTTCGCCTTGCAGAATCCCATGTCAATCTTGTCCATCTGCCTAAGTATGATATTTGTTCTTTCTGGAGTTTTCTGTTTCCTCCCTCCAAGTGTCTGGATAAAATACGTCAATTAACCTGAACAAAAAACAGGGAGCCAATTAAGAAATCGTAGCGAAAAATTAATATTCCCAACTTCCCCTTCCCCCTTTGAACGACTACCTCTGTATAACTCCTGTCCCTCGAATGTGAAATTCAGTCGCGATGAGATCCTCAGGACGAGAGCTACTCATATTGGAGTAGTTTTCAGTTAATATGTTAACTCTCTGTTAACTGAATCCAACTAAATCACAGCCAGAATAAACTAATGCAGTGAGCCAATCAGATGTCGAGGTAAAAGCGTGCACTGGTACCAAGAGCGGGAAAGTGTACATCAACGCTTCGTATTGGCTAAAATTTAATTTTCTCCCACTGGTTAGGTTTGAGCTCCTGGAAATGCAATTCTAAAACAACGCAATCTCCTGAGTAATCTTGTTATATTAGCGTATAAAGCAAATGCTGCATCCTCAAATCATTCCTTTTTGTTATGGTTTCTTATTTTTATTTGTAAATATTGTGTATGACATGTAAATAAAAGTTAACTGTCAATCTCATCAGAATTCAAAGTTGTTACTTACAGTTTTCAAGAGACACGTAGAAGGAAGAGTAGTAAAGATTTTGAACCCTTAACACCTTAACATCATTATGTATATTCTCTATAGTGTTATCCATAGGTTTCCGAAGATGCAGACGAAGAGAATTTGTATTACAATCAGCTCTTATAGTTGGTGGTCATTTCTTTCCTTCTCGTGACCTTTATATTTGATTCAGGGGTGGTATCGCAAGGAGAAATTAGATGCTAGTCGCTCTTGGGGATTTCAGGATTAAGCAACAGTATAGGGTCAAACAAGACGAGAAATCAGGAAACGGAAAACCTTAATTACATAGTCGGTGTTAGGACAAAACACTGTTACCATGAAAGTGGCAGCGTCACAAATCAGGCTTGAATTGAAAGCCAGTATTAGTACAACCTTTCCAAAGAGAAAAAAAGAAAGCTACACAGTTATCAGTCACTTGTTTCCTCCAAGCGACCGGCGATGGCAATAGCATATTTGGGGCTCAACTGCACACGCGGAAAAAGGGACTATTCCGGTGGTTGAAGAAGCATAAATGGTTCCAGAGACATACCAATTAAAGTTTGTCTATTTTGCGTGACATCTTATTGTTGACCGTTTGCGTCGAATGTACTTCCCCTAAGCTTATTCTGAAATGCATCTGTGACACACCCCCTCTACCCAATCGCTCCCCCAGCACACACCATTTTTTCAAGCCGGTGGTCTCTTTCCCGCCACATGGAACCGAGGCTTGTCCAGCGGTTTTCATTGACAGCCCGTCTAAACAAGAATATTTTTTAATTCCTCGATTGCATTGATTGCTCTACAGACATTGTAGGCGGGTAATTGGCGAAAAATTGCCAGTTATGTATTTCCTTTTATCTCAGAATATTCTTCCTGTCGTATTTGCTGTTCTAGCGGTATTGATTTCGTGGTACCTATGGCGGAGAAAGGTAATCGGGCTAAGCTCGAATTCTGGTGAAAAAACACACATAGTGACGGCAGGAAAGAAGGTAAATATTTCAATCATGTTCACTGTCTAAGTTACCGTCTTCTTCATTTTCTTAGTAATAAAAAAGTTTGTATGCTCTTACTTTTTCCCTCTAGCCTTTTTATTTGAATTCTGAATGAATAGCAAATTCTGTCGAAAAATTCTCGATCGCGGCGAATAGCCTTTAAAGGGAGAGCGACGACTGTTTTTCGCATTTGAACGGTCAAGTTTGATAAAGAGGAGATTTTAAATATTTCAGAAATTTAACATTTTGTGAAAGAAATTTATCGGCTCAAAACCTACTGTGAAAACTTTTTACCATTTCTTCGTTGTTTACGTCTCTTATCTATTCGTCAAAATTTTTGAGATGAATGAAATAAAAAGATAATCCAGCGCACATGCGATTTTAGTTGCTCGAATCAAACTTTAATTCCACCTGTAACTTTTTCAAAAAGATTTTATTTGCACACTCGTTTACCATGAAGCAGATGTTGTATATATACTTTTTTTAAAAAGAGTATTGTGTGAGGGAATGTCAATCATTTCATTATTGTTATTGTATCCGTTCTCAAATTATTTCATGTCATTGAAATATGAAGATGATTTTGCTAAGTGAACCTTTCTGTCAAACCAAGAGGAAAGAGTACCATATAACCCCATACATTAATTATGCATTCCACTCCTTTGTCTTTCACGACAAAACTTTAAAAACAAAGTCTACTAGTCTGAATGCATAATTAATGTATGGGGTTATATGGTACTCTTGCCAACCAAGAAACTCTTGCATTGTTACTCAAAAAGCAGTAAGCATGTGCAATATTTGCTCTACTTTGATACTAAGGCCCGGTTCAGACGCTGATCTTTTCATAAGCCGAACCTAATTCCTTGAATTAAGTACATGAAAAGATCGGCATCTGAATCCAATTTGGAGCGGCTATTTCAATTTGGAACGGCTCACCCGTTCTTCCCACCTGGCTTGGCCGAGAATTTCGCCGGTAGAGCGCCATTGGAACGGCTTTAATTCAGACACCGTACTTTTCATGTGCTGATCCTAATGCATGAATTGTTGCAATGTATTTTCCAATCAGTTTGGCTGGTTTTACTGGAACTGAATTTGAAACGGCCGAAAAGAACGGCGTCTGAATCAGCAGGTGTACTTTTGTTAAATTTGGGTTGGTACAAATTCGAATTGAGTTCGGCTCATGAAAAGTTCGGTGTCCCAACCGGGCCTAAGAGTACAGCTGACCCTCGATTATCCTGCAAATCATGGGGACTGCTTGGACTAGTCTGGATAATAGAGAGCCTGGATAATCGAAAATATGAATATCGAAATTAAAAATAAATCTGAAAAACTCGAAAGAAAATACATATCATTTAAACAATATCATGCAAGAATTAAGGCATATTCTCAAATCTTTTTCAATAAACTGTTAACATTTGTTAAAAGTATTTATGAGAAGGTATTAGGCTGACCAACAATGTTTTACAATGACCTAACTTATGCATTGGCTGATGGAGAAAAGTGGTTACAGATCTTGAATATGACCAATTAATATTCATTTAAAAAATTGAATCAGAGAAGCAAGTCAAGATAAGCAAAAAATCTGGATAATTTAGGTCTTGATAATCGAGCTTCCACTATAATACTGTTCCTCCAGAAAGCATGCCTTTTATCATGACATTTAACACTATTACTTTTAAAGTAAAGATTTTTAGAATTTTGAAATAATGAATATGCTGTTTAAAGCCCTGTGGGATTTAATTGTTAGATTTCTGTTTAGTACAAGTTTCTTAAGAGGAAAGAACTTAGAAAAATGATTTTAATTCAACTGTTTGTCCCTCAGGTTTGATATGTCATCTAAACTAGCATTATACTGCAAGACTCCCTTGGGAAACTGACTAAAACTATTGTCTAAGGGAGTCATTTTCCAAAGAAATTGTGGTGCTGTGTCAGTAGGGGTTATTTCAAGATAATTTGGTTTTATCAACTGAATTGATAATATGAAGCAGATCTTTTGAGGGCTAGCCCTTCCCCATTCACTCTTTTGAAGGGTTAATGCTTACGAAGTCAGCTGTAGAAACTCTCTATGGTGGGAAATTTATATCGTCAACTCAGTCAATAAAACCAAAATATCTGAAGCTATGTCTTTCCCGATGGAAATATAGGATGAAGATGACGAGGTGACAGTTGAGGAAGCCACAAAGTTTCTGCAAGGAGCAGGAATTATAAAGGCAAGAGATATCCATTACCTTAGTGAAGATGAAAAAGAGAAGATTTCTAGAGAGTCTAGTGAACCCCTCTCAGAGAATCAAGAAAAGAAAAAGGTGAAAGAAATGACAATGGCAGATGCGTCCAACATCCAGACTTACTACAAGTCAAGTCGATTGGGTATCAAAGATATTGAAAACCAAATGACTGAAGAGGAATTGGATCAAGAAAAAGAGTGAGTGACAAAATAGACTTTAGGGGCTGACCACTTAACTTTTGAGGGGGGGAGGGGTGGGTGCTTTGAAAAAATTTCCTGCAAGCGCTTGTTGGAAGAAAAAAAGTGCATGTAGCCCAAATTTAATAGAAAAAATGTACCAAAAATTTGGAAACAAATATCCTGCACAGCAGATTGCTAGAAAAAAAATTTCTTGATGACCAGAAATCACCCACCCCCCCCTCAAAAGTTAAATGGTCGTTCCCTTAAGTGCTTTTATTATAAACCAAAAAAGTTGCAACCCATTACCAACAGACTTCACTCTGTGATTGGTAAAGTTAGCTTCCATTATCCTCACAACTAATTAAATGCAAAGATTAACCAGCTTTTTCCTTTTCTTCGTATTCCTAAAGGATGCGAAGGAAACAGCTGGAAGAGATTTTCAAGTTACTTGAGACTGATAGGGACAAGTATGGTGTGACAACAATGGATGATCTTCAAGCACAGATGAAGTTGTACTCGAGATAGTACTCTTACTATTAACTTAATGTTTTGTGTAAAAAGATCAGGATAACTCAAGTATTTGTTGTCATTTTGAAGTCACCAGTTTTAAAAAAATAATTTATTTTCAGGTTTGACTTAATTGCATCAACTGTAGACTGAGTATATTTTCTGTTTTGTTTTATTTATAAAATTTTACTGTATTATTATTATTATTATTATTTTTGGAACAAAAAGGCAGTTTGAAACATGTCCATTTTAAAAATACTGAACTGTGAAGGTAGAACTTTAAATAAACATAATTGAAGATTTGTGCTCTTCATGGAAATCATCCTGTTGTAGGTATTTCTTTCAATGGTTCATTGGTTCAACAAATAGTTGAGGTCTATTCTGAATTTTTAAGTCATATTTAAGTATTTCTTGTAGAGGGTAACTGACCATTGGAAAAAATCTTGGCAAGAAATTTCAGGTATCAAACTTTTTTCACTCAATATTTTGTATTTCATCATACCCTATTTATTTAACATACTGTAAGAAGTAACTTTTCTAAAAGCTGCAACTCATATCATGACTGTTTTCATGGAATTGGTAGTGTTCCTAAAATGTTTCATACTTCTACCATCATTAGGTAATTTGAGCCTAAGTGCTTCTCTTTATAAATATTCAACTGGTGGTCCAGTTTCAGTAATAACTCCATTTGGGAGCATTCACAAAATGACCACTAGGTTCATTTGGTTATTTCTGGAACCTTACCTTCTTTGTTCAATAGGGACTTTAAGCAAACCACGACGGCAATGGCAACAAGAACGTGGAAAAACAATAGGTCTAATTGGCAGAACAATAGCCCAGCACGTGCATTTTAAAACTTTGTACATTTCTTGGCCGTCCTTTGCAAAACAACGTGAAATCACAAAAATTTGTGTCGTCTGCAAAGCGAAACCACAGTGGCAAATTATTTTAATTTACATTTGGAACTCAACGCTACTTTTTTTGAGTTTGAGGTCTGGTGCCCTATGATACGGTAAACTCATGCAGCCATTTTGGAAATTATAATTAAAAGTAGAAACTCATTTTTTAATCGACGTCTTCCATGGCATTTGCCGTCGACTGCTTAAACTCCCTGATGTGGCACTTAAAGCCATACCCCTTCACAGGCATTTATTGTGGCTGGGACCCTTTTATAAATGATACTTTGTTTATAACTAAATGAGGTACCACAGGCATCCCAACAGATGATGTCGGCTGTCCAAAGTGACTCTACCTGGTATTTGGTTTTCTAGGGGGTAGTTTCGCAGCCAAAGGTCAAGTGAAGTGTAAGCTACTAAAACATATACATGATCAAACTTAACTTTATTGTTCTTTATCCTGTCAGAGTTTTGTAAAATAGAAAGTGTCTATTACATTTATGCAATATTTAAAGTAATATTTTGATGTTACACTTGCTTTGCAAGCTTTGTTCTGAAATATGTTGTATAAGAGAGATTTTTTTTGTGATGAGATGTCAATTTCCATAGAAAAAAATCAATGGGTGATAAAAAATAGTACTATTAGTCCCAAATTAATTCAGTTTTCCACATATTTTAGAATACCATGATTGTTAGTCAATTAGGTATTCTAAAATATGTGAAAAACAGTGAATTAATTTTGGACCAATAGTACTTTTAGAAGTTTTTATCCCAGAATTAAGAACGAAAGATATTTAAGAAACTGATCAGCCTGATTTCCCAATTGATAGCCATGCAAAATACATAGGAAGAATTCCATCCCATCACTGAAATTCAGGATTTGTTACACAAGTTTTTCAACCCCCTAGAAAAATTAAAAGCACCTTTGCTGATGGCAAAGGATTTGTACAGTAGTGAGAAATGCTTGTTCAAGTTCATAAATTTCAGGTATCAACATTCATTTTTGACTTGATGAAAACTGTTTTCTATTTTACTGAAGCGACCTTATGCTTTTAGATTAGGTTTTAACAGTTTCATTTAAGGTGTTATGCTGAATTTAAAACTGGCATAAACACTATTTGTTATTGTTAATAATTAAATCTTTATCTGAAACCAATTTATGCTTCAGTATTGTTTTGCATATTTCAGTTTATTAGAATAATGAAAGAGAGTATATTTCGTAATTTAGCAATTTTGATGAGAGCTAAAATAGTTCAAGACAAATTACTCAGGTCACGTTTACGATAACTCAGAGAGAAATATTTTTTCTTACCCCACTTTGGCTTGGGTACAGATGTCTTTTAATTCCTTTTCGTTGTAAATGAATTATGCAGCTTTTAAGAAGCGGTTTTTAAGCAAAACAAGTTAGGGCAAGAGTACCATATAACGCCATACATTAAATATGCATTCAGACTGGTAGACATTGTTTGTAAAGTTTTGTCGTGAAAAACAAAGAAGTGGAATGCATAATTAATGTATGGGGTTATATGGTACTCTTTCCCAAGTTAGCTGAAACTGAGCATTTAAATGAATACATGGGAGAATCGCTTCAGCATTGAAAAGTAATAACAAAACAAGGAAATGAAAGAACCGCCTTCAGCGATACTATCGTGTTGTTTACTTTCTTGAGATCCTTCATATTCAGGTGTACAGTTAGTCAACTTTAAAAACCGTATATTATAGTAAACTACGCTATTTATGTTTCAAGATTTCGCCATAAATTTTGAGTAGACTCAGATTGTTGCACATATACCTTATTGTCCTTCTTGAAAGAATAACAGCAACAAATTTAATATTATTTGGGTCTATTTGGTTGCTCTTTGTCGTTACGAACGCTACGTCTTAGTGACGTCAGTCTACGCATGCTCTATAATTATTTTCCGCCGTTCCTAACCGATGACAAGTAGGAGATACGCAGCGGAAAGAGTTTGAAGAAGTTTACGATTTTTTACGCGAGAACATGACAGTTGTTTGGCTCTGTCAGTGAGGGCAGAATTTTTGCACTCGAGAAATTTTAGTCTATTCTTTCATCCGTGTGGAGCTGATGCAGAAATGTTCCAGAATCGTTCAGCGAGTCTTGGAGAACTTCATGGAGGTCACGGCGTACGTGAAGCAAGTGAGAGGGAGGAGGCGAATTTGGAGAGGTCCAAGAGTTCTAGGCATCTTACGAAGAAGAAAAGCTTCAAATTCGGGTCCAGAGATTCTGTCGGAAGAAGGAAATTAGTCAGAAGGCCATCGATGAAGTCTGTTACGAACATGGTTCACAAACTAATGATCCGAATGTCTGCTGTACAATTTCCTTCGAACTCTGCATACTCGACCTCTTCGATTGATAGGATAGATGAGGGTGCATCGTATAGGAAGAAGAATTTTGACGTTGCAGAAGAAGCTTCGTCGAAAATACGTAGAACTAAATCAATGGAGGTACTCAGTATGTCTGGTTTGAAGAATCATGGTAACACTTGCTTTATGAACTCGATTATTCAGTGTCTCGCTCACACTGATTTACTGGCTGAGTATTTTGTTATGGACCAATATAAGGAAGATTTGAAACTTCGTAAAGGACAAACTAAGAAATTCGGAACTCGCGGTGAAGTAACGGAGAAGCTGGCACTTTTACTCAAGAGTTTGTGGTCAAGTCAGTATAACTCGCAAATCAGCAGCGATTTCAAGTCGATCGTTGGAAAATATGGCGTGCAGTATCGAGGATACGCGCAACATGACGCACAGGAGTTTTTGCTTTGGCTTTTAGATAAGGTTCACGAGGATTTGAATCGGGCAACGAAGCGAAAATATAAAGCTAACAAGGTGGGTATAAGTAAAAAATACTCGCTTAATTAATATTGGGAACTCAATTTCCACGATATCGATACTAAGGTGTCGATCAAATCACTCACAATTAAGTGTCATGCAATTATGAACGTTGCTTTTGATTTTGTCGACAAGTTCGCTATGACAAGCTAAACATCGCATGTTTTTCTTATAAATGGTTCTTTGTTTTCATAATTTGCGTAAAAATTCGTTGATTGGGGAGAGTGTCTGATAAATTCTTCATGTTTTGGCTTTTAACCAATATTTAGGAAAAGCAGTGCAATACTTTTCTGAGTCTAAATACTACTTCAATGTCCAACAGAGCCATTTTATAGTGTTTTATTTACGTGCAAGTCGACAACTGAGAGAAGAGTAGCGCACTAAAGTAGAAATTATGGGACTTTTGCCGTATATCTCTGCATCATACTGAAGTCTGAGATGGAAAGCACTTCATAGATTAAATGTTCATTTTCGGTCACTTTAAATATTCTACACGATTGAGAAAGCTTGAGTGATCGTGATCAACTAGCAGTTTGTTATTTGCTCAACATGTCAGAAAGCTTTTAGTTGAAAGTTTGCAAATGTTTTTTCCAGCTATCTTGCTAGATTTTAAACAATTCGGCCAAATCAAAATATAATTTGTGCAAATGTCTCCAGCTGAAAGGTTATCCTTCTAATCGAATAAACCGGCGGAGACGTAAAAATTTGAAATATGAAAACATTTAAAATGGGTGTCAACTTTTGTGAATATATCTTTGGTCATTTTTCATGATTATTTCTTTTCTATTCCTCGCGACATGATGCAGATGGTGCAAAGCTTTGTTTAAATGGAATGTTCCACCTTGAGAAGGTCCTTTGTGATCAGTTGTTCACTGTCACTGGACAAAATCACTAGCATCTCAAGGCATCAAGTGACAAAAAGTTCATGTCATCTTTGATCTCAGTAAAGTTTTTTTTTTGTTACTAAAACCTTGCAAAGGACTCTCACTACTTTTGAATGGAGTTTATTAAGGTTATCCAAGCTGTGGGCAGTGCTTCTATTCTTTACACACGTAGAGAACATTTTACCACCAAACAAAAGATGTTTCTAGAAATTTGATAAAAAGTGCATTGTTCAAAATTAGCAGAAATTAACATTATAAAGAAAGCTTCAAGTAGATCCTTGGACTGCTTTTGAGTGGGGTAAATTTAACATGTTTTTTCATGCGCCATTAATTCTAGGCAAGTCATAGTTAAAAAATGTCTACCCAATAATTCACTAACTTAAACACTTTGATTAGAAGATATAATTCACTGACAGAAGTATTGAAAGCATGACAAATATAAGGACCTCATTGTCTTACCTACATGCATGCTCTTTGGCATCAGCTATTCCTTGAAGCAAAAAAATGTTATTGAGAAATTTTCCACTCTACCTAATCAATTTTATTTACTGATAGTCATGTGAGTATCTTTTGTCAAATGGAGTCTAAAAGTTATCTAAACAGATGTCTTGAATTTGCAGTATCTATAGTTATTTAGCTATGTTTTTGCTTGTGTTGTCCCCAGCTAACAAAAAATACAGTTTAAAAGTATTTCAATGATGTTTATGTTTGATTATGAAATTAATCAATGCATCAATTTTTTTTGTTTTGTGGTCTTAAGTTAATTGAGTAATCATCTTGATTTCAGGAAAGTTTAGGAAGATCAGATGACACCATTGCTCTGGAAGCACTTGCTAATCACACTCGCTGCAATGACAGTTTTGTCCTGGATTTATTCCAAGCTCAGTATCGTTCATCTCTCAAATGTCCCAGATGTCATCAACAGTCAACTACTTTTGATCCTTTTCTATGTCTTTCTTTACCCATCCCTCAGAGGGAAAGCCGTCCCATTATTGTCACCACAGTATTTGTTAACTCATCTAGAGTTCCTTTGCGAATAGGTGTCAGCGTGCCCATAAATGGAACAATTGCTGATCTGCGCAATGTTGTGTCAGACATGACAGGCATCAGTGAAGAATCTTTGATTCTCACAGAACTTTACTTTGATGGATTTCACAGAACATTTCATGATAAGCAGTCTCTGAGCATTGTTCATGAAGGAGACAATATTTATGCTTTTGAGGCTCCCACTGGACTTTTTCCTGAGATGGAAACAGAAGATGGAGAGGCACCTGTCTTGGCAGATAACAAGGGACCAATTCAAGATACTCTTCTGATTCTTCTGGCAAACTGCCAGGGTCCTGCAAAAACCACATCAAGTAAAAGGTAACTGTGTTAGTGGAGCATGTTTAGGTGAAGCATGTTTCTGACAGTAATGGTTTTGTTTCCTTTCATATCGCATTGTTTGAAATTTTTTGTCCCAACCTTGATTACCCTTTCCAAGGAATCTTCAGTTTTAAAGTTGTTTGTTGGGTGTAAAGTATTGATGTCCAACAAGGTGGCCACAATTTCTGTTTTGTAGAATTTTCAAACATAAGTATATTTCTTTATGTCAAGTTCCTTTCAATCCTTAAAATGTGTGTTGCTTTTAAAATTTGATTGAGGCATCACTGACATCAACATCTTACTGTTGCAGGTTTGGCCTCCCCTTTATTGTAAGAGTTCTCAGGGAACTAAGTTATGAAAATCTTCAAGCAGCAATCTTAAAAGCCATGTCAAGGATTCTAATGGACAATGTTTCATCACAGGTAAGAATTGAATTAGAAAGAATCCTCAAGCAACATCACATGATTATATGTATCAACCATAATAACATGTATGAAACTTTTCATCAGATCAAGAAGCAAGGCTTGGTGTTTAAGCTGAGAGTGATCAATGGTTTGCCAGGGAAAGGTGCACTTTCTCCCGAAGTGGATCATCCTTTGTATCAGGCAACTGTTGACAGGTGAGTACCATACCCTTTTTGATTTGCAAAACAGTTGACAGTCAAAATTTGAGCTGTAAACGAGCAGTATGCTTCACCTATATCTTATGTGTATCACCTCTTGTCACATTTTGAGAGGCAGTCAAGATGACAATTTCTGTGATCAATTTGATGACAATTTTAGATAGTTTCAGTTACTCTATGGAATCCCAAAGCATGGTCAGTGTCATAAGTTTGGATTTTCTTGGCGGTTTGTTTTTTGATGGCGATTTGTTTTTGGGACATAACTTCTTAAAACAAAAATAATATTAACTGTGTCTCTTAGCTTATATATCTCATCTTGGATTGTTCTGACTTCTCGTAGAGCACTCATGTCTTGTGGATCAGGAAGTGGACCTCCACATATCAAGATGATTGCTGAATGGGACCAAGAAACAAGAGTCAGGTAACAGAAAATCAAATTACTCCTTTGTATCCTAACATCAGTATGCATATTTCCCATGCTGTCCTCTATATATTTCCAAAGGTCCTAATAAGAGTAATTTGTTTAAAACTCAAGAGCTTTTTCGGGTGGTGATCATTTCTTTAAGTCTTATCACATTAACTTGTGATTCTTGGGTGATATTGTGAGGAGAAATAAGATGTTAATCACTCTAAAGAGGTAAAGAGTCAAGGGTGTAATATTATCTTTCCTAGAAAACATAATTTATGTTTGTTCATGGTAGTCCTTGTGCCTCTCCTTTGATAGTTTTGTCAAGTCCAGTGTCTTACAAGAACGACCAGAGGAGCACTGCAGTGTGCGTGAAGTGGAGTCATTACACAACAGCACACATAATGTTGATCTGGAGGACTGCTTTAGGCTTTACACCAAAGATGAAAAGGTTCGTGCAGTTTTGCTTGTGACAGAGTATTACCCTCAGAACTTGTTTTTTGAGACTGTGTGATGTTTTAAGAACTTTCTCTGATCCCTAGGAAGTAGAGGAAACTACAACAGATTAACTTGAGGGTTTACTTGCAGAATGCGTTTCCTCTAACCCAAATGACTATAGTTTCAGGTCAAATATTATTAGTACCACAATTTCCACCCCACAGCTTTTAGCAAACTAAGATGTGCAACCTTGTGGGGTTACATGCACACAGACACTTAGTTCTTACATCAATATTATTTCTTTTTGTTTCTTTAGCTGGGTACTGAAGATGCCTGGCTTTGTCCTCGGTGCAAGAAACTTCAGCAAGGAACTGTGAAGCGACTGAGTCTATGGACTCTTCCTGAAGTGCTTGTGGTTCACCTGAAGAGATTCAGACAGGTAAGTTCAATTTTTTCTTATATTCAGGTAGAGAAGTAGAAATTTATTTGAGGTTCTGCTGAAAGCTGCAGTAAGGTTTCTGTTTCATGTTCCTTATTGCTTGTTTACTAAGAGGATGAAAGTTTCCCTTTTTTTCATAACATTTTAAATAAATATTACTGGTTATTGTACTCTTGTTATTTATCAATGCAAAATGTAAGCTAAAGGCAGATTCCCTCTTCATTGTTATTTACATCTGAAAAGCATGTAAACCTTTTTCGCTTGCAGGAATAACAAAAAAAATGAATTTCACTTTACAATTATAGCAAGAAACTTTTAGGCAGAAAATAATGCAATTACCCATTGCAGAAGGAAAAGATATCAACTCGGGATAAAATTTGAATTAATGCTGAATTCTCATAGCTAAACTTAAAGGAAATGTAGGGAAGGCAATGGAGAGAATTCATACTTACATGTTGGAAGTGAAAGGGTGAAATAACCCAAGCGCATCACCTGTTTGGAGGATTTTATCTTTAGAGGAGTAAACTGTAGTAAGGAAGGCTTCACAGGTTATCTTTTGACCCTTTGACTCCTGAGAGTGATTAGCATCTGATTTCTCCTTACGTTATCACCCCCAAACCACACATAAAGGTCATGAGAATAAAGAAAATGATCAGCAGCTAGAAACATTCTTGAGAGTTAAACGAAGTATTCTTGTCATCACCTTAGGAAATGTAAGGAGAACAGTATGGATGATATACATACTGAAGTATAGAGAACAGTATGGATGATATACATACTGATGTATAGAGAACAGTATGGATGATATACATACTGATGTATAGAGAACAGTATGGATGATATACACACTGATGTATAGAGAACAGTATGGGTGATATACATACTGAAGTTAGTGTGTAGGGTTAAGGAAAGATATAGGCAGTCTTAAACAAGTCCTCATCCAAGGATGAGACCTTCAAACTGTGTCAGAAATTGTGGAATTTTTTTACTACAACTGAGCTTGAAATTAATGATCTTTTTTATAAATATTTAAACATTATCTTTTCCTAGACTTCTGCTGGTCGAACCAAACTCCACACTCTGGTGGACTTTCCTCTGACTGGGTTAGACGTGAATACGCACGTCGAACCTCGTGCCAAACGGTCGTCACCAGAAAGCCACTCATTAGGGTGGGGCACTTGGGGGCGAAAGCGTGCTAGTTCAGTCAGTGGTTCTGATGAAAACCTCTATGACCTGTATGCTGTTTGTAACCACACTGGGGGAATGACAGGAGGCCATTACACAGCATACTGCAAAAATCCTGTTGACTTTTCCTGGTACCTGTTTGATGACATGCGTGTAGAAAAGATAAGTGAGCACCAGATTGTCACAAAGGCAGCATACCTTTTGTTCTATGCGCGACGTAATGTGGGTTCTTCTTCAGCATCTGAAAGTTCGTCGGGTTCTGAGCACTGGGTTTGGAGAATGCCACGGTTTTCATATGAATCTGTGTTCAGCTCTCGCAATGAGCTTTCAAGTAAAGAGGACACTGCAACTGGTAGGATTCCTTCTTCTTTTGTTATTTTTTTTAACTTCCTGTTTGTTTTCAATACTGTAGCAAACCATTAAATTATTTTGGGTTTATGGAGTGTCACATATTTTTGAGAGTGCAATAGGGCCCAGTTGCTCAAAGAGTGATGAATGCTAACCCAGTTTAATCCAGGTCTCTTTATTTTCTCTATTCAAGAACCTCTTTGGGATGATTTTTCCTATTCTTTTTAGAGCGTACAATCATCAAATTGTAAACAAAAATAATGATACTGAATTTTCTTTAAACCTTTCAGATCTGAAATCAGATGACACTAACACTAGGTTATGTTAACCCAGCTTTGAACAACACAACAACAATTCCTCTTATATATAAATATAATAAATTAACAACAATTGTTGATTTTTTAGTATTTTGAAAGTTCACTTGTATTCATCAAGTTTCTCAGAGAAGTTAATTCTTAAATGGGGACTGCTTTTCAGTCTTGGGTGCACAAAGGCAGATAATTGATTTATTTACAGGTCCTTGTATGCAGTTTTTGTGTTTTTACTTCCGTGAGAAAAGTGTTGTTCTTTTCTGGCTTACAAGTTCATTTTTTTATGTCACTTGGATAATATGTCTACTTAGATGGCTACTACTGTTTGTGCCTACCTGTAAGATCTGGCCATTAAACATTTTCATTTGTTTACTAAGTTTGGCTACACTCCACAGGGGTGTAAATGAGACTTTTTCAAGAGGGGCTCATAGTTATAAATTCCTTTCACAAAGGAATGGGACTTATACCATGGCTTTATTTGTGTATCAGTGGGCTGGTATTCATTCGGTTGAGAGGGTATCTAGTAGTGGAAATATTATTTGCACTTTCCTAATGTTTTCACACTTTTGCAAACATGAAGTTTGAGAATTGTATCAACTTAAACAAAAATATTAAAATTATCTCGCAAAGGTTGGAGGTGGGTTCACTTTAAGATTCGAATATTATTCACTGAGGGAGGATACCTTGAGACCATCTAGCCACACCCTCATTAAATGATCCCTCTCCTTTAGTTGACACCAGTCTTCAAATCCCAATATCTGATTAGAAATTCTCATTTTGACCCCCGCTTCACCTTTCTTTTCTGTTAGTTACAAGAAATTAGAAGTAATACAGAGAACACCTCATCGTTGATATAGACTGGATTTCTTGATTCTCATAATCTATCCTTTTGATAATGTAAATTATCAGGGGAAGGGATACGTTTCAAGTGCTTGTGGGGTTTTATGGGTTTAAATCAAAATGTTAGGTCATAGAAACTGAAAGTTGATGGTGAAACTAGTTTTCTGTAGAGCATTGCAAATGAAATTCTCTTCTCGTTTCAGGTCATTCTACAAGTGAATCATGCAGTTCCCTTCCATGGGCTCAAGGGAATAACACATCAAACAGGTTGAACAGCAAAGAAAACATGCTAACAGAATCTTGTGTGTAACAAAAATTTGTTCTGTTTTCCTAGACTCCATGACACTTCCAAGGAGTTGCTGAAGTAAACACCTGTAATGGGACTGCACCGAACCCTCCAAGCTCCTTGGGGCTAATCAGCAGAAATTTGACTAAATGTATTAATGCAAAGCCTTCCAGGTGGTGTTTAGTTGAAGGTCTAAATAATTTGTTCAGAAACAGGTAGTCATCTCAATTAATATTAAAACTTTTTTTAATTCACCTTCCCAATGAATTCTAACCTCAAGGCTTAGAAAAATTGCAGGCAAAGAATAGGCCAGGATTTTGACGTGAGCTTCTGTAAGAAGCCTTTTTGAATTGATTTATCGAGATGAATCTGTAGATAAGTTAAGAAGCTTGAAATTTCCTTTGGGAAAGACACCTAATATATGTAATATATCTACCACAGAGAACCATACTTGTAATAAAATGGGAAACAGGTTAACCTGCTAAGTCAAGAATAATTCATTTTTACAGCTTATAGCCATGAATTAAAAAAAAAACGTAACCCAAAATGGGTAACATATTTTCAACATTTTTTATGAAAACAATTGAAACCAAATGCACTGCATTGTAAACATATTGTGAGTAGCTAATTGCATCCAAATACGTAAAGTTCCTTAAGGTTCAGTGAACAGAGTTTGACTTGGTAATAAATTTATTTGTGCAAGTGTGTTGTTGATGTGATTAGTTCTCCAGTTAATCAGGGTGGTTATGGTAACAAATCTTGTGAAATGTGCAATTTACCACACACCTCCTTGCCCCGTGTTGATTCCATTTAGTAACGAGGATATTAGAGGCCTCCTTAATCACCACAGTTTTTCACAATTTTATTAATTTTTCATTTACTTATGGTTCAATGTTTTGGTACATGCAGTCTGAAATGACTTAAACTAACCAATGCCCTATTGGTCCATTTTAATCAGTATTTGTTTAATAATTAATAGTAGGTAAAAAACAAGTTATAAAATAAGCAATGAATAATATCTTTCTGACATAATATTTCCAAAAAAAGTCAAAAGAATGTGGTGAGGATACTAAAAAAAAATGTTTGTACACAGTACATTGGATTTTAAATCCACAAATTGTGATATTCTTCATAATATGCCTTCATGACAGCTCTTTAGACTTTTCATTTGGGGAACATTATTTGCAAAGGAAAATAGTAAAAATATACATGAACAGTAATCCATGAAATGGTATTATCATGGTTAGAATTTTGTTGTACAGATGTGGTACAATGATGTAACTTAGCAAATAATTTTTTGCTTCTCACTACAATAATTTTGCAGATATACCCTAGAGAAATTGTCTTATAATAGCCACCATTTGTTATGACTCACTATTCATGATAGGGTCCAAAATAATTGGGAATACCAAGTTTCCAAAGGTCAACCTGGTTACAATAGCAAGGAGTGCACCCTAAGAAAAGTAGTCGTTTTGGAGTTTGATTATATCAAAATGCTCTCTCTCCTAGAAGCAAAGGTATCAGAGAAAATTTACAGCCAGAGAACAAGCAAAAGCTACCTGCAATGGGAGGATTTCATGTGTACATTTTTCTCTGAAGGAATTTACCAAAAAGTCTTCACCCTATCCTAACGTTTTCCATTGGGTGAAAAATATGTAGCTGGTGAACTCTCTTATCACTTTCATTCTTAGACAAGTATGTAAAAGGTACAATATTCAAAGATTGTGCTCGCATGTCATGTAAATGAGCTTGATGTTGGTACCGTAGTACTGTGTTTTATTTATCTCAAACGAACGCCGAAAACTCGAGCTCATACATTGGCCGCACGGCCTCGGTCAATGAAAGTGAAAGGTTTTCTGAAAATAACAGACAAAGAAGGCATCAAACTCTGAATACCTGCCTAAACGAAAAAAAAAACAACAACTATTAACTCACCAAACCGTTCGCTTAAGCCAGCGAAAGACACAATAACGCCCTTTAAAACTCTCTTCAATGGATAAAAAAACTAAACAAAACATCCGCAAACCCGAGCAATGGCGATTCCAGCCAAAAGTCATGTGACCGGCAAAACCTCGGACTCCCAAGGGAGTCGGGAGTGACACTTGGCTCTTCTCAAACTAATGACCCTTCCTTTTAGAGTACAGTACTTCTGTTTATGGTACTCTTAAAAACACTTGCGGTGAACCATTGAAGGACCAGATTCATGATATTCCTGTTTTGAAATTCAATTTTGGGAGGTGGATAGTGATGCCAAGATCGATCCTCCAATCCAGGAAGCATATTTACACTAAGGAGGAGCAATAAACTCAGTCTTTGTCATGGGTGGAGCCAAGCAGATACTTTCTTCTGGATTCTATCATCCATCCCTGAGAAC